GGCTTGGGGACAGAAGGGTCCCGTGTTCGATTCCGGTCAAGGGCATGTGCCTTGGTTGTGGGCATATCTCCAGTAGGGGGTGTGCAGGAGGCAGCTGATCAATGACTCTCTCTTATTGATGTTTCTAACTCTCTATTCCTCTCTCTTCCTCTCTGTAAAAGAATCAATAAAATATATTTTTTTAAAAAAGAAATTTTAATACCACAAACACAAAAAAACAAACATACACAATAGCTATTCATAGAATCTATGCATATCTGCGGGGCCAAGGGCCTTTTATTTTGGTGAGTGTCCTCTGATTCATTCTGCCTCGAATTTTTTTCAGTGATAATCTAATCTCTAAATGTTTATTTAAAATAAAGGGGGGAAAGACATTTTAAAAGTAAACAGTATAGAATCACACTCAGTTTTTATAATTCTTTTGTCATGTCCACCATTTGACAGCTTTAAAAAAAATTTTTTTTTTGCTTTTATCAAGTCATTTCAAACCATTTAATTTCATTTTCATAAAAACAACTCTCCCCCACATTTGTATTTTACTAGGGCCCACTATAAGAATTTGTGCACCTTGAAAGGAACAGTGGGCTACGGACTGCAGTAGACACAGGGGTGGGTCTTGGCCCATCCTCCGTGCCCTCACCTGGCCCCTTCCGCCTCAGCCACTGGTCTACTGTCTACCGGCAGCCCCACTCCCACCGCTGCTGCTCCCACCTGCTGACAGCGTCAGCCCCACTTGCACCTGCTGATGGCTTGGAGTGATTTGGGCTGGCGCTCTCAGTGGGTGTGAGCAGGGGCTTCTGCCCCGATTGCCGCACAGGAGCAGGGGAAGGTGGAGAAGACCTCATGGGTGATCAGGGCCTGCAGTTGCTGCTCACACCCGGTGATGGCGCTGAGCTATCGGGGCCAGCGCCAGCACCAGCAGCAGGTGTGAGTGGGGCTGGCACCGGCTGCAGGTGAAAGTGCAGGGAGGGACTATGGTGTGCAAGGCAGTAAATTTTCAGTAATCACCTGAAGCTCATCCTGATGACAGTGACCGGCGCACTACCTTGGTGTGGCATCCCCTCTCACCTGCTCCACCATCCCCTGGTGGCCAGCACCCACCATGTTCCCTCCTCTGCTGCCTGCTGTCACCTCCCACCATGTTCTGCTCATGCCCCTGGTGGTCATCACACTTCATAGTGACTGGTTGTTTGGTCCATTTCCATATTAGGGTTTTATATATATAGACTAGAGGCCTGATGCATGAAGATTCGTGCAAGAATGGGCCTTCCTTCCACTGGCTGCCGGCACCACCTTTGCTCTGGCCAGAGCCGCCTTTTTGCTCTGACCTGAAGCCACCTTTCTGCCTTTCCACACTTCCCAAAGGCCTGGAGCAGCTGGGGTAGTGTGGAACGCCTGCATTGTCAAAATGGCAACGATGCAGCTGTCCCACCCTGCCCCCGCCACTCAGCACCTATGAATGCAAATTAACCTTCCATCATTTTTGGGTTAATTTGCATACTCATTCCTGATTGGCTGGTGGGTGTCATGAGGTACAGTCAATTTGCATTTTACTCTTTTATTAGCATAGATCACTATGTAATGTTTAATTGAATTGTATCACTTCAAAGATAAGACAAACAACTGTTTGGGGAATAGCAAAAAGAAAATATACATGGGAAACAAATAGGTGAAAGGAGTAATATAAAGAAAATATTAACTAATACTTTTGTAGAACTTACTAGGTATCCAACACAATTCTAACAGCTCTACAAAAGAAAACTCACTTAATTCTCAAATGGAGATGTTGTTATTTTCTCCAACTTTACTAATAATGAAATTGAGGCATACAGAGGTGTGTGTGTGTGTGTATATATATATATATATATATATATATATATATATATATTGTATATATATATATACACACACACATATTGACAACATTTTTTTTTTTTTACTGAGATATTTCAGGATGTCTGCTTTTCTTTTCAAAACTCTATCAAACATAATGTAATCTGTCTTTGAAGTGGCATAACTAATAAATAGATCAGTGAAAATTTAATATGGCCTCCTCCCTTTTGGGTTCTCAAAAAGCATTGCTCTTCTTTCCTAGGGAAGCCCGGGAAGTGAGTTTAGCTAAGTTGGGAAGAGATCTTGTGGGGAGACAGATGACTTACTTGCTCATTTTTATCCTTTCTTTCCAGATGAGGGTGAACTTAGCAAAGAACCAAAGGTTAAGAATAGTCGTTGTGGATGATTTTTCTTTAAAACTGACTATTGGAATAGGAGTAGATGCCCTAAGCGGAAATGAAACAGGGGTCAAGTGTATAAACAGCCAGCAAACTGCTCTTAGTAAGTTTAGATCTAAGCCGAGGGGCAACCCTGCTAAATCCATCTCCCCTCCAACTTGCTATCCTCTTCCTGGCCCAGTTCTCCTTTCTCTCCTTTTCCTGACTTCTGCTCCAAAAGATCCAGTTCTTGAGCAGGGGCATCAGCTGCTCTAAGAGGCTCTTGTTCCAGTCGGTCCAGGCTGGCAGTGAGGGCCAAGCTGCTAGGGTATGCTGTAACCAATCCATAGACCGCAAACTCCAAATGATACCTAAATGGCAAGCCAACGTTCTTCCCGGGATTGTGTCTCACAAAGTTAAAGAATAAAATCATGGACCAGAAGATGTAAGCAAAACCGTGGAAATTTATTATAAGTGGATACAAACTCCCCACATGCAGAGAAGGCCTAAGAAAGGGTTGCCATTGAAGTTCACTTGTCTAGGGGTTTTATCCCCCTAGCCCTCTCTTTGTCTACCCTGTATCTCTTTGATTGGCTTCTTCTACCTTTCTCACTTAGCAACCATTTCAAAACCCACCTCCTCTTTTCAAGGAGGAAAAGAGGAAGGGCTCTTTTCCTTTTCCTCTTGCCCTTTTTCTTGAAACTTCCTGTACCTGCAAGATATAAATTCTTGTTTGGAGCTGGGTCCTGCTTGACCATGCAGTTATGTCCACACTTTTTTCTTCTTCCATCCTTACTTCTTATAGCTTTGTGCACCTGCAAGATAAACATTCTTGTGGCATTCTGTCTTTTTGCAAGACCAGCATTCCTGTGGTTTTAGTTGGCTCCAATGGTCACATCTATATTTCTTCCTTTCTTTTACTCATTACCCTGTTTGCCTATCCCTGTTTCTCACTCCTCTCATAAAAAATGAGAGATCTTGTTTGGGTACTTGACACTTAAGCCCTATGCCTAGAATAGTTCCTGGTACCTAACAGGTGCTCAATAAATATTTATTGAATAAATGAATGAATAGATAATAAAGGATACAACATGTACAGGTATACAACATTTATATCACTTATGAAGTGATCACCCTGATAAGTCTAGTACTTATCTGACAACATATATAGTTTTTACAATATTATTGACTACATTCCCTATGCTATAGTCTACATCCCTGTGACTGTTTATACTGGCAATTTGCACATACCAATCCCTTCCCTCTAAAGAGTCTTAATGAATGTTTTTCACCATCCTACATATCACCTTTTAAATTTCTTTTCATTTGTTTTCAGCTATAATTTCCATCTAAAAACCTCCTCCTCCTCCTCCTCCTCTTCCTCCTCCTCCTCTTCCTCCTCCTCTTCCTCTTCCTTCTTCCTCTTCTCCTTCAGTAGTGGGTATCTGTATGGCATTGTTATTGTTGGTGTTGTTGTTATTATTATTATCATTATTATTATTATTTTATTGATTCCAGAGAGACAAATGGAGTAGAGAGAGGCAGAAACATTGATCGGCTGCCTCCTGCACATCCCCTACTGGGATCAAGCCTCCAACCCAGGCCTGTGCCCTGACTGGGAATCGAACAGTGACCTCTTGTTCATAGGCCCACCCTCAACCACTGAGCCACACTGGCTGCATGTTACCCCTTCTTTACTGATTATCTCAATGGCTAAGCCTCCAGCAAACCTTTCCAGATGACCCTGGTTAGAAGAGTCCACTTCCTCCCATAAAAGCCAATAGCACTGTAGTAGTGACACTCTTCATAAGTACATTGCACAGCAGGATAAATTACTTCCATATAATTTTATCCTTATCATTTCCCTTTGTCAAAATAGTGAACAAATGTTACTCTCTTACCACAGATAAGGAGAAATTTGAAGAGGTTAATGGGAATGCTCAAGGAACAAGCCTAGAAAAAAAAATACACTAGACTCAGATCTCTTCCATTCTCCTAGTCCAGTACTCTTTATACCCTGTACAGTGCTTGTGCTCATGTTCTGGCATGTATTGCTATCACTCTGTCAGTGTTATTTTCCCTCTGAGACGGTAAATTCTTACAGACCCTCACTTATTAGGCTTGCTAATAAAAGTAATTAAATGAATAAGTTAACAGACCCTCAAACTTTAAATTCAGGAATAGAAAAAAAGAAATATTTCTCTTCTTGTAAGCTGCTTTTGCAATGAGTATAAAGGGCAAAAATTCTCCAAGTCGGTATAGGAGTTAGAAAACAGTATACAGGCTTCATTTGTTGGTTAATTTTTTGCTCAAAAAGGCTTGACTTAAAAATTAATAATGAGGTTGGTTTTCCTCTATCCAAGTCAGTACAAAACTATTTGTGGGGAATGATATTTCTTCTTTGCAATCTCATATTAAAAATAGTCATTCACATGGGGGAGAGGGTAAGCAAATTGCATCTAATATTGCTTTCAGGCATGGGAGAATTGTGGCATTAAACAGAAGTATGATCAGTAGTGGGGGGTAGGAAGAAGGGTCTGGTGTGGGTCGGGAACCTGCAGGCACTGCAGTGTGATGAGACTAACATCAGCTCTCATGATTAAACCGAGGCCCTTGGCGCTGCTTGGGGAGGCCTAGTGTTGGCTTTGGACCTGGGAATTTGAAACATACAAAACGTCCTTCAAGTCCCAGGGGACTCAGCTCTGAGCCTGACTCTTGGCCAGCGCCTGGGTGAGAATCAGATCTCCCGGTGACTCACCCTCCTCCACTTGAGCAGAGGCCCGGCCTCGCCTCAACCCCCGTAGCAGCGCGCTCAGGAGTTTGTCCCTGCGGCGCCCCGTAGGCAGCGGCGCCGGCGTCTCCTGTTCCCGGGTACATCGCCATGGCAGCTTTCGGCGGCGGCGCCCCCGCCAGCGAGGCCATCCGCCACGCCGAGTACTCGCCGCCCTCCACCAAACGGCCTGACGCGGACATCGACCGGGGCCTGGTGAGTCCCGCCGGTGCCCCCGCCTCTCTCCGGCTTCGGGCGGCCCGCCGGCAGCCCTGAGGTCCCCCCCCAACCCCCCGACCCTCCTCCCTAGTCCCCGCCTCACCTCTGCCAACCTCCCTCCTTCCCCCACTTCCCCCAACCGCGCTCCTGGTTTCATTCTCCATCTCTGCCCACCGCTCATCGGCGGCCTGCCATTCCTGGCGCCGAAACTAGGCGTGTTCAGAGCATGTCTGCCCCTCAAGGAGCTTCCAGTCTCCGGAGACGCAGACCCGAACGGGCCGTTGGAGACGGAGCACTGCGAGGGCGGCAGGAGGGTCCCTGCATCCCTCAGACCCGCTGGGGGGCGGGGAGTGGGGCCAGGAAAGCAGCCCGGGGATGGGATGGCGAGCAGGTCACTGGGGGAAGAGAAGACCCCAAGTGTTTCAGGCGCTGGTAGCTGTAGCTACACATTTGCAGGCCAGAGCACACAGCAGGTGGTTCACTCCGCCGATAAGTGGAACCGGGAAAAGGAATATCCTGCAAGAGCAGCATGCTGCCACTCTCTTGGAGTGTTACGTTTTCGGTAGCCCCATTAAAAAAGGAAAAATAAATGGGTGAATTTAGTTTTAACAGTGTCTTTTATTGAATGCAGTATAGCCACAACACTGTTTTATCGTGTAGTCAACATATCGTGTCGTCAACTGACATTATAGATACAGATACATGCTGTCTAAAACCCAGTGGGTGTTTGACAAACTAACAGGACACCTCCCTGTGGGCTACCCACGCTGCGCTACCCAGGCGCTCCCATGTGGCTTAATGGCACCTTATGGATTCGTGCAGTTCCCACAGATAATCGGGGGCTAGAACATCGGGAGCATCTGCTAAGCCACATGAAACAGTTGAGGTATTCTGAGGGCCGTGGTGCCATTTTAATGTTTTGGATTTTTAAAAAATATATTTATTTTTACGAGAGGAAGGGAGAGGAGGGATAGAGAGTCAGAAACATCAATGAGAGAGAAAGATGGATCACTGGCCTCCTACACACTCCCCACCTACACACTCCCCACCGGGGATGTGCCTGAAACCAAGGTACATGCCTTTGCTCTGAATTGAACCTGGGACCCTTGAGTCTGCTTGCCATCGCTCCATCAACTGAGCCAAACTGGTCAAGGCCATTTTGCTGAGTTTTAAGCAAACAGGTGCTAGGTGGGGCCATTGTAAAGTTCTGTGTGTAAGAGGAATGAATTCGATGGGGAAAGTACGGAAACATGGCTGTTTTTTAGCCATTTTCTACACCACATTCCCTGCTACTCCAGCCCGCAGTGATGTATCTTGCCTACTGAATCTCCAGTAGAGCCTTAAAATTATGGGAGATGAAGACAGGTCTTTATTGTGTAGGGTTGTCTCATACATGTTAGGATTTCTCAGATCAGTAGTTCCCCATCCACCAAGTGTCTTCCCTCCTGCCCAAATTATTGTGACCAAAGGTCGACAAATTTTCAAAATGTCCCTGAAGGCCAGTTATGCTTCTGTTGAGAACCATTGGTCCAAGTATTGCCCAGTGATGGATCACTGGCCTCCTACACACTCCCCACCTACACACTCCCCACCGGGGATGTGCCTGAAACCAAGGTAGAAGATAAGAGAGTTGATAATAACTTTGGGGAATTTGGAAGTACTGAAAATAATGGAAAATTGACAAAGGTAAGTGTTAAGAAAGAATAAATGACCTAGGTGTGGGACATATTCAATAATCTTTTAGGAGCCAATAGAAAATAACGTATTTTTCAAGAAGCTAAAGAAAAAATTTTCAGACCATTCTTTAAGAAGGTTCAATGTAAAGTTTTTTTAAATATGTGTCTGCAGAAGTAGATGTCAAATAATTTTTTCTCAAGTAAGCTTCTCTTTAGGAAGTACAAATTAATGTTTACTAACCTGCTTAAGAAATTAAAAAGATAAAAATGTTGGCAAAAATAACTATGTAGTAACTTGAATAAAATAGTAACTTATAATTCATTGTTAATAATTAGAAGTCATGTGAAAACTTTGCTTTAGCAATTCTAGTTCATAGAAAGTAGGAAAGACATTTTAAGATTAAAAAGAGAATATCATCACCCTAGCCGGTTTGGCTCAGTAGATAAGAGCCACGGACTGAAGGGTCATGGGTTTGATTACATTGTGGCTCAATCCCCTCAACCAATTAGTGTGTCTCTCTCACATCGATGTTTCTCTCAGTATCTTTCCCTCCCTTCCATTCTCTCTCTCTCTAAAAAAAAAAAAAAAAAAAAAAAAGGAAAATTATCCTCAAGTGAGGATTAACAACAAAAGAATATCATCAATTTTTAAAGCAGTGTGAACAAAACTCAGTTTGTATGAGTGTTAGCCTTTTAGTTTCCATTACCTTCCTGGATAATATAACTCGTAGTGTTATTAGAATAGTGCAGTGATTTTCAACCAGTGTGCTGCAAGAATTTTTATAACATGCGATAACTGACTACTTAGGGTTACTGCTGACCTTTTTTACCTTAGGTTGTCAGGTTAAAAATGACAACTGCCAATACAACAATAGCCAGTGGTGTGAATGAATCAAATGTACACCTATTTTTTGTCAGATTGCCAAAAATATATATTTTTTGGTGTGCAAAGAATTTTAGTAATTTTTGTGTACCATGAAATGAGAAAAGGTTGAAAAATCGCTGGGATAGTGTAATGTATGAGAAAATTAGCCGTGCATGTATTTCAGTATGACCAAACCTGATATATCTGGTTAAAACCTATCAAATACATAAATTATCAAGTATTCATTACCGAAAAAAAGAGACCACATCTATTATTTTTCAATTCCAATTTGATTTAAAACATATTTAACATACCTGGAGTCTTCCCTTTGAAGAAATCACATGGATTATGTACTACTAGAGGCCCGGTGCACAAAATTTGTTCATGGAGGGAAAGGGGTGGTGATGTCCCTCAGCCCAGCCTGCACTCTCTCAATCTGGGACCCCTTCAAGGATGTCTGACTGCCCTAAACAGGCAGTTGGACATCCCTCTCATAATCCAGGACTGCTGGCTCCCAACTGCTTACCTGCTTGCCTTCCTGATTGCCCCTAACAGCTTCTACCTGCCAGCCTGATCACCCCTAACCACTCCCATGCCAGCCTGATTGATGTCTAACTGCTCCCCTGTCAGCCTGTTTGTCCCCAACTTCTCTCCTCTGCCAGCCTGGTCACCCCTAACTGCCCTCCCCTTCAGGGTTGATTGCCTCCAACTGCCCTCCCTTGCAGGCCTGGTGCCTCCCAACTACCCTCCCCTGCTGGCCATCTTGTGGTGGTCATCTTGTGTCCACATGGGAGCAGGATGTTTGACCACATGAGGGCAGCCAGCTTGTGTGTTGGAGTAATGGTCAATCTGCATATTAGTCTTATTAGATATGATAAAGGCCTGGTGCTCAGGTGGGGGCCGGATGGTTTTCCCCGAAGGGTGTCCTGAATCAGGGTGGGGGTTCCCTTAAGGCATGGGGCAGCCTGAGGGAGGGGCCGGTGGTGGTTTGCAGGCCAGCTATGCCCCCTGGCGACCTAAGCAGAGGCCCTGGTACCTGGAATTTATTTATCTTCTACAATTGAAACTTTGTAGCCTGGAGGGGAGCCAAGCCTCCTGCTTGCTCCATGGCTGCCGCCATTTCTGTTTGGATTTGTTTACCTTCTATAATTGAAACTTTTTAGCCTTTAGTGGAGGCTTAGGCCAGCTAGGGCAGGCAGAAATCTTGGCTTCTTCCATTGCCTGGGAAACCCAAGCCTCTCTCCTGCTCTCTGGGGCCATAGCCATCTTGGTTGGGGTTAATTTGCATACTAATTCTGATTGGCTGGTGGATATAGTGGAGTGATAGTTAATTTGCATATTGCTCTTTTATTATATAGGATTGTATATGCATATTTTTATTTGCAAAGTTTTTCCTTACTCTAGTTCCCTTTTCCTAGCAGAATTAAATTGTTGTATCCACAACATATTTCCTTATAAAGTCATACAATTCTTCAATTATAGTATTTCTTGTATCAAAATTGTATTTGCATAAGAACCTGTAAAGTCTTTAAGGCAAGGACTTTTTATCTGCTGATATTGGCATTGTAGTTACTTAATTGTTTATTAAATAAACAGCTATTAGGTTTACTACAATTAGTAACAATAAAAAAGTTGGATGTTTGGTTCTAGCATATTGATGCATATTTTCTATAGGCTGCATATTGATGCATACTTTCTTTATGTTAGCCTCTTAGGGAGAACAGTAATCTGTGCCTGTCTTTCTCACTGCGTACTCTCTCTCTTTCTCTCTAGAAATTAGCACAAGGCCTGGTGTACACAAAATTACTTTTGTATATTTATATAGCATTGTCATAAATGTCATAAATGAATGTTTGTTGAGTGAGTGAATAGTCTCCATCTTTCCTCTCCATCACATTAGTACTTCCTTTTTTTAGGCAGAAGAATAGTTCTTTTCCTTGTTAATTTCCCTCTGGTATAACTGTTGTCTATCTTGAACTTAAATGTTGCAGTCTCAAGATAGAAGTTTTAGCATTTTATAACACTTTCAGGCAATTTATATTTATCTAGAAAGTTATTTACTGCTTATGCTGTTTTGAAAGAATAAAATGCCTTAGGGAATTTGTAAACAATGTTGATTTCCCCCCGCAGCAGTAGCAACTATGAGCAACTATGATGGAGTACACTGTTTTACCAGTTTTCCGAAATTCCTGATTCATTGTAGATATTTGAGAGTAGTGACACAGATATCTGCCTTGGTCTACTTGTTGATTTGCTGGCATTATTTCAGTAGTACTTATTTTCCTGTTTGAAATAGGTGTTTTAACTAAAATTATATATTTTTTAAAGGCAGGGACCAAGTTTTAAGGATCCTCATTCTCAGCTCCTAACTTAAACTAGGCACATGGTTATCACTCAAAAACATTTTTGTTGAATGATTAACAAATGAATGAAACAGCTGGATGGGAGAAAAATAG